TGTGCAGCTACCCATCCAGGCTGTCACATTGTAAAGTTTGCAGATGATACAGCGGTGGTGGGATGCATCACAAACAATGATGAGTCCAGCTACAGGCAAGAGGTGGAACACCTGGAGAGCTGGTGCAGAGAGAATAACCTTCACATCAATGTGAAGAAGACAAAGGAGATGATTGTGGACTTCAGAAGGAACAAAAACACCCACACCCCCCTGAACATAAGAGGATCTGCGGTGGAAGTGGTCTCCAGCTACAAGTACTTGGGTGTACACATGAATGACAACCTCAGCTGGAGCAACAACACCACCAGCCTGATCAAGAAAGCTCATCAGAGACTCTACTTCCTCAGACGGCTGAGGCGAGCTGGTCTGGGAAGCTCAGTCCTCACCTCCTTCTACAGATGTGCAGTGGAGAGCATCCTGTGCTCCAGCATCAACGTGTGGCATGGAGGCTGCACAGCTGCAGAAAGAAAAGCTTTGCAGAGAGTGGTGAAGGCTGCACAGAAATCTGTTGGAATCAGCCTCCCCACCATCACAGACATCTACACCTCCAGATGCAGGAAGAGGGCCACCTGCATCATGAAGGACCCCACTCACCCAGCACACACACTTTTTGCCCCACTCCCCTCAGGAAGGAGGTTAAGGAGCATTAAGTGTAGAACCACTAGACTGAGGAACAGCTTCTACCCTGAGGCTGTTAGACTCATGAAACTCTAACTATAATAATCACTGTGAAAAACCATATCATGTTGCTGCTGATCTGTTTCATGTTGCTGCTGATCTGTTTCAATGTTGATGTGTTCATGCGTGCACATCTGCTCACACAGACTCATGTTCATGTTTGTGCTGATGTTCAATGTTTTATGTTATGAGTGCTTAGTGTATATTTAGTTGATGTTTTTCTTAGTTCATATCTTAGATGTTATCATTGTTTTTCTTTTACATTTTATTGTTGGATGTAACTGGGACCCTGTGTACATAATTTCGCTCCACCACATGTACCACATGAGGTGCGAATGACAATAAAGAAACTCTGACTCTGAGTCTGACTCTGATATTATTGTTTAGCTCAATAATTTCTGGGACAATTAATCACCCAGGAAAATTTGTTATCGTGACAGGCCTAATGCTTTGTCCTTCATCTAAAGGACTTTATCAGTCCGAGGAGCAACAATAAACTCAGTCCCACAAGGAGCACATTTACATAGTGGACCAATGATGGTCATGAGATGGTTTCTTTGTAGGATTTTTTTTTCACCTTTGAGCATGGAATACCAACAGCTTCTCTTCCCCCCCGCTGGTCCGCTCCCCCTGAGCTGCAGTTTTAAACTATCATGGCGGATAGAACAAAGGCCATGGCTGCAACAGTGTCGACACAAAACAAGTTTTTAAAAAAAATTGGTTTTCAAAGTGGTTTAAAGCATCGGAGAACTTCAAATTAGCTAACACGAAAAGAGTGGTGTCCTCAAGGTTTCCTGAACGGAAAGCAGCACACAAACTAACTCGTCAAAAAATGGAGAAAAACAAAAAGTTTAAACGCTAAATGCACTTTGTGACGTTGGACAGGCTGTCTGTCTGCTACATCTTCAAGAGAACAAACGTTTGAGGAAACTTTTAGATCAGAAGTGGAGCTAAGTTTTGATTGATTAATATGATTGTTCCTGACCAGTGTGTTGAGATCTGTTTCCCCACTATCTTCTTTTGTGTTTAGACAACATTAGTAAAATGTAAATAAAAACTTGTTCTCTTTTATGTCTTCCAACAAAGTTCAGTCAGGTCATCTGGATGGTTTCTTTATTGGTTGAGACGTTTCGTCCTTCATAAAAAAGGACTTCTTCAATCCAAGGAGCCACAAACAAACTGTGTCCCACAAGCAGCAAACTCCCAGAGTGGGAAAAAAACCCCAGTTTGCTGGTGATAAGTCCACTATGAGAGTGTGCTGCTTGTGGGACACAGCATGGCTCCTTGGATTGATGAAGTCCTTTGGATGAAGGACAAAATGTCTCAACAAAAAAAGAAACTGTCCAGAGGACCTGACTGAACTTTGTTGGATTTTTAAAAATCTGGATTATTGAACATGAACTTTGACCTTTTATGTCTTGTTTTTGTCTGATGTAGCAGAAAAAAACACATCTTGGTGGCTGGAAATCTAATTTACTTGGGTGGGGGGAACATATCTCAATGGGGCAGCACAATTCAACACAACACCTGCCGGTGCTAATGAACCTGTCTGAAACAGTTAATTGTGCCGATAATGTTGAGCTAAATAAATAACATTTAAATCAGACAAGCGATTAATAAATACAATTCAAAATATGAAAAGCAAAGGGTAAGTAAAAAAAAAAAAAAAACTTTATGCGATTAACTTTTAAATAAGTGTTTTATTTCTTTCTCTCCTCTTTGGGACAAAGCCTGCAAACGGAGGAGTTGTCACCTCAGTCTGCTGCCGTTCTTTCCAACAGTCCTTACAACATACTGAATATTCAGGGTTTAATGACTTTTATATGAATACATGATTAGAGCTTCATTCGATTCGTCATGTTGGAGTTGTACTTTAATTTGCAAGTTGACATTTTAGTTTGTGTTGTAGTGTAAATGCAAACGTGTGTTGTTTAAAGAAATAAAATACGCTCACATAAAACTGTGGATTTAATTAGTAAGAATAGCCAAGATGGCCGCGCTCAGCCGAGCCGCAGCTTCGCAGGCTCCTGGTGAGCTCGATCTTTTTGTGTTCCTGTTGTTTTTAACTTTTTTTTTAATGCCTACAATGCACATCCACGGTACGGGTATGACCGCGCCACATTTGTGGAGCTTTCTGTGTCGCTGCCTTGCCATCGTGCCATCGAGGTTCAGTCCTTCCAGTCTCGGGTTCAGGCCTGTCATGGCTGCTGTTCCCATGATCCTCCATCTGCTTGCACGGACCGAACTCTACAGACTCGTTCAGTTCCGCGGGAGAACCTTGGATGTTCTCCGTCTGCTGGACCCGGTTCTGGAGGGCTGTCTGGGAGGGCAGCTGCTGCGGTCATTATTACCATCAAGCTGCTAACGGGACATGCTAACGCTGCTAATAAGATCCTCCATCTGCCTGATCGGACCGAACTCTGCGGACACGCTTGGTTCTGGAGGGCAGTCTGGGAGGGCAGTTGCTGAGGTCCTTATTGTCATCATGCTGCTGAAGGGACCTGCTAACGCTGCTAACAGTATCTGCTAACTGGACCGTGTTGCTAAGATAACGTCCCTGTCATCAGAACCACTGTGCCAGTAGGACCATGCTGCTGTAGGTTTATTTCTTTTTCACGTTTGGTGCCTTGTTTCTGCATTTTTGTTGCATGCTTTGAATAAATCTCAGTTTATGTTAGTGCTCGCATCATGCATGCACCAAACCTATGAGAATGTGCTGCTGTTGTTCGGTGTATTGTTTTGCACTATTAGCGTTTAGCGTGTTCTTTTAATGCACCGTTTGGCGTTCATATATCTTCGATTTTTATTTACTGTTCCTTTTGACACTTTATAGTTTTGCTGTTGTTGGATGACACTGGGATCCTGTGTACACAATTTAATTCCACCTCATGTACCACATGTGACGTGAATGACAATAAAGAACCTTGAATGCTTGAATGAAATTGGTTGAGAGCGGCAGGTAAGAGAAATTTAAGTAAATGTGCACTGAGGCGTCGCAAAACCGTCTGTAAAATCGTATTTAGGAGCATTTTCATCCCCTGACTGTGTGGAATCAACAATTTATTCAATACCCACATTCTATTTTAATGGAATTAATGCTGAGCAAATTAAAAAGGAAGATGACAGTTTTATTAGGACTAATACTGCGGTGTAATCCAGCCAGTCAACCCTCTCGCAGCCTAATCTTCAGTGTAAACCTTCACGGGCAGGTCTCCTCATGCTCCTCAGCATACAGCAGTAATCCCACTAAGGCTCTTAGAGGAGCAAATTCATATTTTCTGAATGGAAGGAGAGGCTTCACGGCTGTTACAGGCTCACCGTGGAAGACGGCTAATAAATAAAACATCTCGCACGACTCGCCTTGAGAACTCGGGGGAACAGTCACCTTTGGAAATCAGAAGCGGGTGCTGCAGCTCCAGCTGGGAGATCATGACTCATCCTCCCCCACTTGTTCTCATCGCTCTGTATCACCTCCATAACTGTTCGTCCTCGAGTCATAAGTGCACCCCCAAATATGGATTTAAGGGTGGAGAAAGAGAGGTGAAGTTCATCAAATGGTGAGTTTGCTGTAATTTCTGATGAGGAATAAGGGATTCGGGGGGCAGCCGGTGTCCACGCTCACTCATCCCTTCACATATTGACGGAGACGGATGATCACAATTTGCATCCCTGCATCCCGCCCATCGTTGGTGTGTGCGCACGGTGATGCGTCATCGTGCCTCACCGTCCTGATTCCCACTGCGAGCTTCATCTTTGAGATTCTAATCTGTGCCGTATTCTCCAGCGGAACAGAGGAGCCACTGAATATGCATCATGTTCATGAAGGACGGATGGAAGCTCATTTCCCTCCTCTGACAGGCCCCAGATGGGATGCTGGGGGTGGGGGGGGGGGGGTTCTCCATCCTTCTAGAGGCAAAAGGCTGCCTGTATGTTATCAGATACCAGGCCCAGTTTGATGCAGAGAGTACTGTAAATCACACCCATACAGCTTCCTCTCTCACCATGAGTATAAATGAACGCAGGAGCAGAAGCTGCATATCATTTTCTCCATCACTGCATTTTTTTTTTTTTTTTTTTTTTTATGTCTTCTTGTCATTCCTCCTGCTGACATGGGATGTTTTCTCCCGGGTGCATTTAGAAATTAAACCTGCCCCAGATGAGTGGCGGCAGTAATATGGAGATATGTGAAATAAATAAGAAAATAAAAAGCACTGACATTGAGCTAATCAAACAGGCAAACTGCAATGCGCCATTAAAAACACACACACATAAAACAAACAAAAATAAAAAATAAAAAATAACCTGATTGCCTCGGGTCTTACCTCGACGTTTCCCCACACGCAATAGGACAATACAGCCACCAGGACAGGGATTGCGGTATGCCCCATTTTCTCGCCCTCTTCTGCGTCTTTTATTTAGTCAGTAACTAAGTCGCTAATGTGAAATATCTGTATCCAGTTACATGAGCTGAAGTGATGGACGCTGCCGACGGACGTCTCGTGCGTTTTCTCCTCCTGCTCGCTCGTCGCCAGCGGGCTCTCCAATGGCAGCCGGGCTGTAATGAGGATGAAGCCTGGCAGAACCAAGCCCTGTTTCTGCGGGTATTCATCAAAGGCTTTTCCCAGGGCGGCCTTTCTGCTGCCCTGGTCAACAGCGACATCTGGTGGTGAAAGGCTAAAACTGCAGGCTGCTGGTTCTGGAGGCCAACACAAAAATGTTTGCGACTTACTGTAAGTCACCTCTACAGATATTCAACTAAAATTTGGTGATGTAGTAGTTGAGAGTTATTCACATACTGCGCGCTCTATACATTGTGCAGCATCTTAAAAGACAGATCCTGTAACAGATCCTGTCTAACTCTGAACGCTAGGAAACGCCTTGTATCTGTGACTTTCCTTCCCTCCATTGATTACGGTGACATTATTTACATGAACGCTCCTACAAGAACCCTGCAGATGTTGGATGCTGTCTATCACGGTGCACTAAGATTCATAACTGGCTGTGATTATCGTACCCACCACTGCACCCTGTATTCACTGGTTAACTGGTCACCATTAACTTCACACAGACTCTCCCTCTGGTACATTTTCATCTTTAAATCACTTCTTGGTCTGCTGCCTTCATACAGCTCCTCCTATATGTCTCTGCATGAGTGCAGCTACAGCGTGCGCTCTCAGGACATTATTACCTGCAGTGTTCCCTCAGTGAGGACTGAACTAGACAAAAGGGCCTTCTTCTACTCCGCTCCTGTTTCCTGGAATATCTTACAAAAACATCTGAAGCTCTCGACCTTGACCTCCCTAAGTGGCTTTAAGAATCTGTTGGACTCCTGACAAGGACTAATGCAGACATGTTCCTGTTTTTAGTTTTCTACATTCACCTTAGAATCTAGATGTTTTTGCTATGTTGTTTTTGCCATCTTTTATAACTGTCTATTGTTGTCATCTTCTTTGTTGAAATCAGGTCTCTCTTGTAAATGAGTCCCCAAGGCTCAATGGGATTAACCTGTCTAAATAAAGGTTGAATGAAAAAAAAGTTTGACATAAACAGTTAAATTCTACGCTGTCTGTACGTTTGCAGAATCACACTCTATTTTTCCAAACAGATGTTATCCAAAGAATTATCTAGAACAGGTAAGATATTAACTGTTTATAACGTTTGAACTGAACCCCACTTTGATAGGTCTGAACTCTTACTTGAATTTATCTGTTTCAAGAGAATAAACATAATCCACAGTGCTTATGTCAATTTGAATTTAAATACATCGCCGTAAAGGTGTTAAATTGTTTGAAATAGAAATCTAATCTTTCACAGATAAACCTTCCACTCAAAGTATAGTTTTCCTTTCTGTCTATAAAGATTAGATAACCTGACTGTAACTTGCAGCACACAGCAAGAACTGATGTACTGACCAGAAAGCTCCCCAACACATTTGCACATTTAACATTTAGAAATTACCTGTTGGAGTCATTAACATATTTTATTTACAAAAAAAAAAAGAGATGGATTATAGTTAATGTTTCAGGAAATACTCATTGGATGTACCTCTACAGATGATTAGCTTTTGAAGTCAACACATTTTAACACCGCTGAGCAGCCACAGCTAATCAAACTTAGCTAATAGAAAAATGGCTATAAGTTAGTTTTGTAGATATTGTGTTACTATTTGACACGGCGGCAGCTTTCACATCCCGTATACCAAGTGTTGATCCCTGTGCAGATTCTTTGCACAATAGATTTAATCAAAACAGCTCCATCCTAAAGAACACGAGATCTTCAACTTCAGTCACGATTTGTATTTGAGGGGGATTAATGCACACGTGATCAACATACAAAACAAAACTTGTTTTCATTGAGTTGTATTCACTTAAGTTGCGCACAGATGACTAACAGCTGGAACTGATCTTGCAGCTGTTCTTAGTCAGGGTTTCCAGTTTCCAGCTGCAGGTTTCTTACAGGTTGATCAGAGCGTCATAGCCGAGTGCAAGGTACAGAAATGGTTTTGTTTTATTGAACCAAAGCTTTATCTGCTTTAAATTAAGGCCAGAATGAAATTTTCTAAGTGTGTGGCAAGGCCAGGTACTTTGTATAAAATGGAGAAGTTACATGATGAGCCAGAAAGAAAAAAAAAAAACCTGACAAACACTGAGTCATTGAAAGGCATCTGGCACAAAGAGACAAACGTCTCAGAGGACGATGTCCACGTTGGATAAAGATTTCATTTGAATTTATAGGTTTGTGACAAGAGACTAACAGGAGAGGAAAACGTAATTCTTCACAGCCTGTTGAACGTGTTGAACCATAATAGTGGAAACGTTTATTTCTGGAGGAGTTTTTGCGTCTTACACTTGCAGTTTGACCGTGGAGCTTTAAAAGACATCCCGCAGGATAACGAGTCAAAACACCCCTTAAAGCTGGAACTTGAGGCTCATTTAACCAAAAAAAAAAAAAAAGAGTAAACTGTGTCTTCCACAGAGACCCTGCTCCAGCCCCTGTGTGAGGACGAACGTGCTGTAACTTACAGTACCTGTACAGGAGGCTTCTTTTGGGGAACGTCATCAAATCACCGCTCAAGTACATTAATTCGAAACAAATCATATAAATGGAAAATGAATTAAATTAGTAATGATGTCATAATGAAAAAAAAAAGTGACAGATTTCAAACAAATGCTGAATTGAACATCGTCAGCAGACGTCTGGATTTTACAGCAAACTTCGTCTGGCTTCTTAAAATAATCAGAGGAGTTATTTTTGCATATTGGACCTCCTTGCTGCTCATGTCCTCACTCAGGCTTAGTTGGCCATGAAGTTCAAACTGCTCAGTGATTACAGGCCAGACTGGGCCGTGGTCAGAAACCACTCAAAAAGTCAAAAAAAAAAAAAAGATTTGCAAAAAAATCATTCATTAAGCAAACTTCCTTATTAAAGCACAGTAATTCTTTGTCATGAATCATTTTTTGTATTGTACTGCATTTATTTAACACATTTTAAGCAGACATGGGTTTTGACAAACACTGGTCAATGAATGGATGTTAAGCACATGGAAACATGAAAGTAATAAAACATCACTTAAACACTTTTAAGCATCATCAACATCATGAATTATGTTCATTATGTGCACAGAGGGTATATAAAATGTTTTACGGGATCTTTTCATTTATTTATTGTGCAGCCGAAATGAATAAAGAGTAAACAAGTCTGTGTTGTAGACGTGAAGTTAACACGTTTAGGAAGTATGTATGCATGCATATGTCTATATGGATATGGATATACTGTATGTAGATGCATGTATATATGAATAAAGTTGCATGCATTCGTTTAGTCATTTATGTATGCAAATGTTAACATGGACATATTTCTGTGTTAGTGTGTATGTGTTTGTAAATGTAACGTGCACATATCTGCAGTAGTAAAAGTATAGCCAAGAATGCTAAACTAGGATAAAGAAAAAAAAAGTCAACACTGATTATTTAACAGTAGAGAAGAGGTAGAATATGAAAAAAAGCTTGTTACTTTTTTTAAACATGCTAAGATCTATTTTTTCTGAATTAATTAGTTAAACTAAAACATTCATTCATTCATTAATTTGTTCATTCATTCATTGTTCAGCTTCTGTTGTGAGCATTTTGCAACAAACCAACATTTTTTCAGTCAGGTCATCTGGACAGTTAACTGATAAACCGGCAAACCGAACTGATGAAACCTTCTGGATCGAAGGCGAAATGTTTCAGCACACACACACACAAAAAAAGAAACTGTCCAGATGACCTGACTGAAAAATGTTGGATTGTGTACCTGGATTATTGAGCATGGACTTTGTTGTTTTCAACCAGTTTGACATGACTGTCAACAAGGAAGAGGGCCGGCAATGGAGGAGGAGGCGTACCAAAGAGACCATCTTATCACAAGCAGAACTGGTTTGTTCCACTTTGGAGTAAGCTGTTGGAGGAAGAATCAGTTTTGTTGTTTCCTTGACTGATGAAGCCTTCTGGATCGAAGGCGAAACGTTTCAGCACAAAAAAAAGAAACTGTCCAGATGACCTGACTGAAAAATGTTGGATTGTATCCCTGGATTATTGAGCATGGAGTTTGTTATTTTGCAACAAAGCTTTTCAAATTCCTGGCTGTGGTTTCACAAATGACCAGCAGGGGGCGCACGTGCAAAGAAAATACCAGGAAGTATTTGTTGACATGATAATTTAAACTAAATAAGGACAACGACTTGACTAAGAATAAACATAATTTTCCAAACGGAGGAGCAAAAAAACTAAACAATTGTCCCCTATGATGAGTCAACTTAAAAACACCGAATGTAAAAAGGAAGTTTTGTTCTTAGTGAAATAGGCGTCCCGCAGGTAAATGGGCGGGGTTTAAGTTTGGGTGTGTGACGGAAACATCAGGTTCAGGTGTACTGTACCGTTTCCCTTGGATCACAGGAAGAAACTTTGATTTGCCTCGAAAATAATATTCGGTTTTTATTTATTTCTCTGCACTTTTGGAAAGGGGAACAAGTTAACAGAAACTTACTTCTGTGTCTTGGATTCCAGTTGACGTGAAGATGAACGCTGCCAGATATGTAAGTTTGTCTCACCTGACGTCACTCGTGTGTTTATTATTAAGATGTTGGCGCTAATATCTTCAAAAAGTTTGTGTGTTAACAACTTTTCGACACAACGAAAGTCTGATTTCATGAACTGAAACTAGACTTTGGTTTCAGTTTATGCTGTCATCCAGTTTCTTACATATTAAACACGACAGGTTTTAGGTCTAAACCTATTTTAAAACCGTTTTCTGCAAACATTTTTGTCCTTTAACAGACTTTTACATCACCATGTTCCCATTTTTACACAGACGTGTTGTTAAAGCTTTAAGTGGAGGATTAAAATGAAACAATTTGTGGCTTTTTGGGCTTGTTTAAAAAAAAAAGGATGTATACACGGCGAGGCGCATGCGCAGTAAGTACGTCAGTCAGTAGATCAAATAAAAGTAATGAACAATTGAAAATGTATTTCTTCCATCTACCTTAGTGAGGTCAGCTGGGCATAAGAAGCTAATAAAAAAGTATGGCTTAATTACTCATGTGTAGGCCCACATAAGGGGTGCCAGATAATCAATAATTTAAAAAATATTACTTCAATCACTGACGAAATAAAGAAAACAGCCATGTAGATACCAGCATTTGGTAAAAACGTTATGGTGTTCCATTATTTGAGATTTGGGGAATTAATTAAATCCAAAAATTCTCCAGAACTCTTAATAATAAATAGTGTTTGTAGATTCAAATTATAATAATGACAATATATAAATGTACCCCCAGAATTATACAAAAAAAACCAAACATATAATGCATTATATATATACTCACTGTGTACATAGTACTGTAGTGTGCACTCAAAGTGTATATTTCATTAATTGTGGTCAAAGACAAAAATTTATGTTTCAAAGTGTATGTCAGTGGTATTGATGATGTGAGATGTTAGAAATAAAGTTTATCTATTTTGTCACATTAGAAGTAATGTAACTTATTTCTCTTTATCATGGGAGATGTTAAATGAATTGACTATTGTGGTGTCAGGAAGTCATGATCAGACTTGTTTCCTTTTCATTTTAAAACGATTCATTATGATTCTAGGTTGAGTTTGTTCATGTAAGCTTAAATACATTTAAATTCAAAGTCTAGAATGAATGCACATTGCCCACCACGTTTGACATCAGAATTTTATTAATAAGATCATCTTGTGTTGAGAAATTATAGATGTAGCCAAACCTAGGAAATTATGTTTTGCACAGCTGCTTGCATTCTTTAGGCTTAAGTTTGAATATTTTTCTCTGTTGGCTAATGTTAATTAGCTCTGTTGAGCTTCTTGAATTGGATTTGAGTTTGCTAAAGCTGCTTAGCTGTGGCAACCATCTTGGATATTGCTGACTCTAAAAGTCCGTCAAATGTATATGAACATCAAATGATTACCGTCTTAAAATTTCATTATAACCTTTCCACCGGGTCATGACATATTTTCCTAACTGACAGACACAAAAAAACACATACACACTAGGAATGTGCGATATGGCATAACATTTATATCACGATATGTATTGTGAAGGGTGGCGATAACGATATATATCGCGATATGTTCTTGGTAAAAAACTTGCTAAAAAAGCTTTGGGTGTCCTTTTGCCATCATATGTTTCGAATTAAAAAAATTCCACTACTAGATCCAGAGAGTTTTTAAATAATAAACAAATCAAGTATTAGGCTTCTTTCTTGTAGTGCAAAACAGAGCAAAATATATCAAATGTAGTTTTAGCCATATGTTTTAAACAAAAGAATATGTTGTTAACTCTTAACAGTTTCCAGTCTCACTTCAGAAATGAACAGCAACAGAGCAGCAATTTACACTGAAACACTTCACCCTCCAACCCTCTAGTTGGCGACTCCTTCTGCTTTAATGGAGAACTGACACAAAATGAGTCTGTGGCTTTGACCAGAGGGTCTCACAGTAAAATCACACAACACGGCGTTCTTTTCACAGATCAGAGAGCAGGTTTCTCTAAAGCTGACCAACGCTTGCTTTAACTTTCGATGGGAAAAAAAACAACTTTCGACGGAACGCAGTGTTTTGCGCATGCGTCAGAATACGGCAACACTACGGCAAGCCGGCTGTAGTTAGCTTGTAGCTTCGCCACTTAGCCCTCGAAGAAAAGACTTTAACACCACTTATGCACAGTTTTCAACAAACAAAAGTAATGATTAAACTGACAACTCTGATTTTACTTCAGACACAGCATTAATGCGGTTAGCCGGTAGAAGACAGATCTCTATCGTAGGCTCAATTTCTATCGTTTCTACCGTGTACAGTATATATCGCTCATTCCTAATACACACCCACTGACACATGCAAAATTATCCTCGCCTTCTTGCCTTTTGATGGAAAAACTACTCACACTAGCACTAACCCCCTCCATTTGCAACTGGGTACTAGATTTCTTAACCAACAGACTACAGTCTCTGAGGATCCACAACTTCTCCACCTCCACCATAACCCTCAGCACTGGCTCTCCTCAGGGCTGTGTGTTGAGCCCCCTTCTGTTCATTCTGCTCACATATGACTGTGCAGCTACCCATCCAGGCTGTCATATTGTAAAGTTTGCAGATGATACAGCGGTGGTTGGATGCATCACAAACAATGATGAGTTCAGCTACAGATAGGAGGCGGAACACCTGGAGAGCTGCAGGAAGAACAACCTTCACATCATTGTGAAAAAGACAATGGAGAAAGTCATGGACTTCAGAAGGAACAAACACTCCTACCCCCGTGAACATAAGAGGATCTGTGGTGGAAGTGGTCTCCACCTAGAAGTACTTGCGTGTACACCTGAACAACAACCTCAGCTGGGGCAACAACACAACCAGCCTGATCAAGAAAGGTCATCAGAGACTCTACTTCCTCAGACGGCTGAGACGAGCTGGTCTGGGAAGCTCAGTCCTCACCTCCTTCTACAGGTGTGCAGTGGAGAGCATCCTGTGCTCCAGCATCAACGTGTGGCATGGAGGCTGCACAGCTGCAGAAAGAAAAGCTTTGCAGAGAGTGGTGAAGGCTGCACAGAAGACTGTTGGAGTCAGTCTCTCCACCTTCACAGACATCTACACCTCTAGATACAGGAAGACCTGCATCATGAAGGACCCCACTCACCCAGCACACTCACTTTTTTGTCCCACTCCCCTCAGGAAGGAGGTTGAGGAACATTAAGTGTAGAACCACAAGACTGAGGAACAGCTTCTACCCTGAAGCTGTTAGACTCATGAATCTCTAACTGGGATAATCGCTGTAAGAAGAAAAAAAAAAAAAGAAAATCACTGTAATGCCACTTTAATTGGTGATAGATATGTGACGTAACCATGCTGATGATCTCATGCTGCTGACTATCTCTTGCTGCTGTATTCATTCATACCCATCTACTCACTACAGACTCATGTTTGGGCTGCTGTTTAATATACCATATCATTTTACATTGCTAGTGTTTATAACTTATAACTTAGATCTTTTAGCATATTGTTTAGCGTTCGTTTAGTGTATATCTTAGATCCTTACTGATTCTTTTTGTATACTTTATATTTTTGCTATCTTTGGGTGTAAAAGGAACCGTGAGTACACAATTTTGTTCCATCTCATGTACAATGTGATGTGAATGACAATAAAGATACTTAAACTTGAACTTTGGTGGCAGGAGAATAGTTTCTACTGTCTTTGAGAGATATGTGCTTGTAGGATTGCTTTTTTTTTTTAAAGCATAGCAGAGCAGTCACAGTTCTTGTATGTTCCAGGAAAAGTGACTTCAGTTCATGTCAGAGGCCTTTCGCAGGTGATTTCTATATTTGTTTCTATGATCAGATTGAGCATGTGACAGATTGAGCATGTGGCAGATTGAGCATGTGGCAGATTGAGCATGTGGCAGACCAGGATCAGCCCTGTTGTCTGTTGCTGTTGATGCACATTAGTGAACTGATTGATCTCTGCAACATTTCTGATGTTCAGGCTTAAAGAAAGCAAACTAATAACTCAGTTTGGGATTCTGACAGCTGTCATACAAGAGAGCAACATGATATTTTTAGCAGGGGTGCACCATTTGCAGTTTTCTGGCCGATCACTGATCTCTAAAAAGTCTGACCTGCCGATTCAGCTTTTTGTTTGATAAGCGACACTGTCAGGTGTTATAAGGTCACAATGCACCTTCAATTTTCCAGTATTATTTTATTGAAAATCATACTCTTGAACAATATCATAGAAACAATACAGACTTGTTTTAACTGGCCATGAGGTAGTGCTCTGAAATATAAATTACGTTCAAACAATTGTTGTTAAAACTACAAAGAATCGGTAAAATTGGTTTCTCATGTAAGTATTGGCCGATCTCCCAAAATTAAGGAAATCGGGGCCCCTTAATTTTAGGTCTCTCATTGTCCTGAACCATCGAGCATTATGTTTTCATGTGCTCAGTCTGCCCACTCATTTAGTTATCAAAAGAAGAAGAAATCCCTTGTGTTTTTAAAGGGGTGGAACATGTTCTGCACACTTCTGGAAACATTCTGTGTGGATTTAAGACGAGAAATTATGGTAATTGTTATTTTAATCTCTTTCTAAATTTATATACACAATTCAAAACAATATATTGTGTTATATGATGTCTTTTTTTCTGTTTTGTCTTTGTTTTCACATAAAAAAAATAAAATCAGTAATTTGTATGAAACACAAGTTGTACAAAGTTCTTGAAATGTCTAACTTTATGTTTAGAAATTTTCACTCATGCAGCTCTGACCAAAACATGATCATTATTTTCACGTTTTTGTCACTTCATCTTCCATAACATCAAAACAAATTCAGTAAATTTAATTTCACAACAAAAATAATTCACAATCTTAATCTAAACTCTTTACATTTTACTATTTATATTTCTACATGCCTACTTGTTTTTATAAGATAGGGTGTCTCATTGCATGGTTCAGCAATAAAATAAAATAAAAATGAGTTAATGACCAAGATGGTGTTGAGGAAGGTCAGTTGACTTGGGACCAGAAAG